AATGTTGTGAATGAGTATTGATTACTGCTGAATCTGAGAGTAAGACTGAAGGATAAAATAATATCCTTAGCTATTCCAGTCAAACGGATCTCCCTTTATGATATTATCTAATACACAGATCATCATACACATAATTGATTATTTATTATTATCACCATGACATGGGATATACAAATACATATACATTATATATATGGCATCATTATATTTCATCTACATATTTCTTTTATTATACAAATACTTAATTGAGAGACTACAACTACAACTATCTAATATTATGAAACATTACCCGAGTATCTGGGTCGGAATACTAAAATATTACCAATAGCATAAATGCTCTTCTTTACCAAAACTCTTGGACTGATCTGACTGGAGAAGTATCATATCAATTGGTCTTTCCGGATCTTTCCAGAAGAACAATACTCCTGGAATATGACTCATCGTGATAAAGATTACTTAAGCACACACTGAATTACAAATTAGAAAAACATATAAATATCAGTAGATAGTTCCGTGTAGAAAGACAATCGAATTTTATATTTCTTTACTTTTCTTTTGAAATAAACAACCTACACAAGTTCTCACGAATTCTTTCGTCTATATTATATTTTGCTTTATTTTCTCCCCACAACATCGGGAAAAGGGACAATCTATAGATCTCACTTTGCGTTTAGTAGCTGAGGGGCCTCGGGATCAAAGACGGTACAATGCTCCAACTGCAAGTGAAATAGCAGTTCTTATTATGAATAATGAAGAGGGTACTTCAAGAGACATTGTGCTGCACACCAGAGCCAACTTCCAACAGAACATCAATGAGTACCACCGATCTTATGATGCTTTACACTATGTGCTACTCTTTCCACATGGTGAAGATGGTTGGACCATTGATGCCAGCTCATTGTCAGGAGAGCATGTCACAGTAATGCAATGGTACTCAAACCGTTTGATGTATCGACGCAACACACAGCACCTCCTCCATCTTTTTGGCCGTCTCTTTCAACAATATATTGTTGATATGTATGCCAAAGTTGAGCACGATCGGCTGCACTTCATCACCAGCAATCAAAATCGTCTCCGTGTAGATCTTTATAGTGGAATTCAGGATGCTGTTATCCATAACGATTGTAATCTTGCAAATCTTGGAAAGAGAGTTATTCTTCCATCTTCTTTTATTGGTAGCCCCCGGTATATGGCTCAACTTTATCAAGATTCAATGAGTATTGTGCGTCGTTTTGGCAAGCCTGATTTGTTCATAACTTTCACTTGCAATTCAAAGTGGCCAGAAATCACAAATTCCCTGTTGGCTGGGCAAAAAGCTAATGACAGACCAGATCTTTGTTCTCGGGTTTTCAATATGAAGCTCAAAGAGCTCATGATTGACCTTACAAAAAAAATATTCTGGGGAAAGTTTTGGCCTTTATATATGTCATTGAATTCCAAAAGCGTGGACTTCCTCATGCCCACATTCTTTTGATTTTGCGACCACAAGATAAACCAAAAACAATAGAAGATTTTGACAGAATAGTTTCGGCTGAAATCCCAGATCCTGAAACTGAGCCATTGGCATATGAAACAGTAAAAAAATGCATGATGCATGGCCCATGCGGAAAGAAATATCCAAAAGCACCATGCATGAAGAATGGGATCTGTTCAAAGAATTATCCTAAAAAGCTTTGCAATGAGACTAGCAATGGTGGAAACGGATATCCTATTTATCAACGCAGTCGAAATGGAAGAGTTATTAGAAGAGGGCCAAAGATCATGGATAATGGATGGGTTGTTCCACACAATAGATACATATGTGCAAAATACAATGCTCATATAAATGTTGAGATTAGCACCTCTGTTTCTGCCGTAAAATACCTCTACAAATATGTATATAAAGGACATGACCGTGCAATGGCCCATGTGCAGCCTACACCCACCAATTCCACTCCACAACAACAACAAGAGCATGTAAACGAAGTTAATGAGTTTCGTGATGCTCGGTATGTCTCCGCTTCTGAAGCATGCTGGAGAATATTTTCTTTCAAGCTTCATCAAGAGTATCCCAGCCATCAACGACTTTCAATCCATCTGGAAAATGCCCAACCCGTATATTATAATCCATCTTCTAACCCAGAGGATGTTGCAAATTCCAGAAAAAACACTACTTTAATGGGATATTTCGACTATAATGCTACACACCCATCATCTGAAAAACTTCTTTACGTCGACTTTCCTTCTCTTTATGTATGGAATACAAAAGAACGAAAATGGACAGCACGTAAGAGGTTTGATAAAGGAACGATTGGCAGAGTTTACACAGTGTCTCCAAGAGATATTGAAAAATATTCGTTACGATTACTGCTGCATAATGTTAAAGGGGCCAAAAGCTTTGAAGACATACGTACAGTAGAAGGATGTGTGTATGAAACAAACCAAGCTGCATGTCGTGCTCTGGGATTACTTTTGAATGATGATGAGTGGAGTAACTGTATGGAAGAGGCAGCAGCTCATCAGATCCCATTTTCTTTACGAAGACTCTTTGCTATTCTTTTGATTTTCTGTGCAGTATCAGATCCTTTCTCTTTGTGGCTTGCTCATCGCGATTCTATGATTGAAGATTATCTTCATTTGGCAAGAGAAAGTAGTGGAATTCCTGCGTTAGCCCCCACACAAGATATGTTTGACAGATGTTTATGGGATATCGAAAGTCATCTATCTGCCAACTCTATGTCTCTCATGTTGTTCACTGGATTTGTTCTTCCACCAATGCCTGACATCCAGCACTTTAGCCCAAATGGGCAAGATGTTCAAGCCATCATACAAGAACAAGAAGATTTATGTGATCAAGCCCAGCTTTTGCCAGATCCAGATACATTGACATTCAATAATTCACAAAGACGTGTCTATACAACAGTATTAAGTGCAATTGAAGAAAACGTGGGAGCCTCAAGATTGTACTTTGTCGATGGTCCAGATGGGACGGGAAAGACATTTGTCTTTAATGCCTTGCTTCAAAAAACTCGCCAACAAGGAAAAATTGCTCTTGCAGTAGCAACAAGTGGAATTGCTGCATTGCTGCTAGACGGTGGGCGTACAGCACATTCCAGGTTTAAGATTCCAGTGAAAGTTGATCTTAACTCCTTATGCTCCATCAACGCAAACTCGCAAACGGCACAACTTATTAGAAGAACGGAATTGGTTATCTGGGACGAAGCTTCTATGATTAGTAAAGATGTTTTTAATACTGTAAGCAGATCCATGCAAGATATAATGAAGACTGTCGATCCATTGCTTGAAAACGTTCCATTTGGAGGGAAGTTGTTTGTCTTTGGAGGCGATTTTCGGCAGGTCCTTCCTGTTATACCCAAGGCAACAAGAGCTCAGGTTGTAAGCCAATGTATCAAGAAAGCATCTGCATGGAGAAATGTAAAAACCTTGCGGCTTACAACAAACATGCGAATTGCCCAAGCAAATAATGAACAAGAAACATTAGAGCTTAGGGAATTTGGAGCATTTCTCTTGCAAGTTGGTAGTGGTTCTGCCCACACAACAGGCGGTGATGACACCATCCCAATTCCGCCCCATATGTTACTTTCTGGATATAATCCTGCTGATCTGGCCAAAGCAGTTTTCCATGATCTCTCCTCTAATGCAGCCAACCCTCATTTCCTCATGGGCCGTGCTTTGCTTACTCCTAAGAATAAAGATGTCAAGAAACTCAATGATATTCTTCTGAGCCAGTTTCCTGGAGAGGCACGAGAGTTTAAGAGCATCGACCAGGGAATTGATGAAGATGGTCAGTTGACATATCCAGTTGAGCTACTAAATACCATTGATCCTGGATCCCTACCACCTCACTCACTGTCCTTAAAAAAAGGATGTCCTATCATGCTTCTTCGCAATCTTGACCCAAAAAACGGCCTCTGTAATGGTACACGCCTGATTTGCAACTCTTTTGGAACATCTGTCATCAGAGCAACAATGGTGACTGGATCAAATGCCGGGCAAGTATCTCTTATTCCAAGAATAAAGCTTAATCCATCTGGATCAAATGGTGAAATTGAATTCCAGCGGTTCCAATTTCCAGTTCGTCTTGCATTCGCAATGACAATAAACAAGTCACAAGGTCAAACTCTTGAGAGTGTTGGATTATATCTCCCTGCCCCAGTATTCTCCCATGGCCAGCTGTATGTTGCTCTATCCCGGGTCAGAAAACCTTCTACAATCAAGATAATGCTTGATACACCAGCAAACTCCAACGAAACGGCAAATACTGTATTTACAGACAATGTTGTATTTAAGGAAGTCTTTGACATTTAGTAAAAAATTATATATAACATACACTATAAACTCATCTAACCAATTTTTTTTTGAATAATAAAACATCTATACATATCCTTTCTTTTCATATAATTCACTCAAATAAAATGTTCCTATTAATTGTGCTATACGGTACTTAGACTTCCAATAGGGAAGGGTTTTATATTAACTTCCGGTAGGCTCTGGGGCCCCCCCGAAGGGAGGGGGGAGGGGGGGGACCCCCCAAAGGGGGGGGGGGAGCACCGCTCCCCTAGTCTATATTATTAAAATGTATCAGTAAACACTCTCCAACCGTAAGTCATGTGATCAAAGCTGCCCAATGTTATAATACATCAAATATTCAAATGTTATTACTTGATTTTATAACTTTATACAGATTATACATTCATTACAGATCACATGACTTACATCGGTTTTTTATGATTATATGATTATATATTCAGTACAGATCACATGATTCACATTTTTTTAAATAGCTGCTCCATTAATATGTTAAGAAAAAATAGCAATAATAGTAATATTTTTTCTCCGGGTTCATCAATATTTATATACTTACAAAATACCAAAACAAAAAATAAAAAATGCAGCCTTTTGAAAGCATTTGTGCCTCATGCAGGCTATCTGAACATAAGCGTAGATCAAATATGCTTTGTTCTTTAAACAATAAAAACACGAGACTTTACGTGCTTGAAAAAAGAACTTACAAAGACATCTCTACTAATGAAGAGATTTCTGCAGAAAGTAGCCAATGTAATATTTATAACTTAAATTTAAATTAATATACTTACATTTAACTATTAAATTATAACCATTTAGCTGCTGCATTGAGATTGAGACACGAAGTATCTTCTGAAAAAACAACCCAAGTTCAAGTTCAACATGTACTTGAGTCTAATGGCTCTAATGAGTCTGATGAGAATGATGAAGACATTGAAAGTGATGATACAGAAAGTGAAGACGAGACAGATGACAGTCAATCACATGGAATTGCTTGCAGTAATTTTACAACAGAACCTGGGATTGATTATCAAGGTTCAATGACTGCTGAGTGTCAGTTTTGTAATGCAATGATGTGAACAAATGAGAGAGTTTCTTGCTCATCTGTAGAAAATCTGCTGTTTTCCATGTGCTTTAACAAGGGTAGTGTTCTTCCAGATTTTGAGCCAATACTGCCTGAAATGGCCATTCTTTTAGTGCATGGTACAGCCGCATCAAACATTTTCTTTCAAAAGATTTGTGCTTATAATAGCACTTTGAGCTTTACTTTGTTGGGTGCAAAAATTGATCATTCTGTTGCAAATAACAGAAGTGGAGCATACTGTTTCAGAATACACGGCACAATATGCCATAATATTGGGTCTGTTCTTCCATCCACTGCTGAAGACTTAATTAAGCCAAGGTATGCTCAGCTTTATATGTATGATCCTGTCTCTCAAGTCAACTTCCAACACAACAATGCTTCACATCTCAACCGAAATATAATAGAGCAGATTCAGAGTATGCTCATAAGAGTAAACCCATTTGTTTCTCTTTTTAAATCAATAGAGCAATACTCTAGAACAGAAAACCAAGTTGTGGATTTGACCCTTCGTTTGGTTGCTGATAGTTGACAGGATCAAAGATGCTATAACGCACCAGCAGCAGAAGAAGTAGCTGTTTTGATAATAAATAATGAGCCTGGGACATCAAGAGATATTGTTCTTCACACGCAATCTAATGGGCTACAGCATATAAACAAATACCATAGATCATACGACTCTCTATTATGTTTTGATGTTTCCTTTTGGTGAAGATGGTTGGACAATCACTTCATGTGGAACTTCAGGAAAAAAAGTTACTGCAATGCAATGGTATTCAAGCAGACTGATGTATTGCAAAAATAGTCTTCACCTACTCCATCTCTTTGGTCGACTGTTCCAGCAGTATATTGTTGACATGTACGCCAAGATTGAGCATAATAGAATTACCTTTATTGCAAAAAACCAAAAATGACTTCGAGTAGATCTCTACAGTGGCGTACAAGACGCAATGAATCTTAATGAGGGCGATTTGAATAACCTTGGAAGACGAGTCGTTCTTCCTTCCTCTTTTGTTGGTTTGCCACGACATATGCGCCAGTTGTATCAAGATGCGATAGGTATTGTGCATTGCTTTGGAAAGCCGGATTTGTTTATCACATTTACGTGCAACACAGCTTGACCAGAAATAACAAGTGCTTTATTGGGAGGGCAAAAAGTTAATGACAGGCCTGATCTTTGTTCCCGTGTTTTCAACCTAAAGCTCAAAGAACTCATGCATGATCTTACAAAGAAAAATGTTTTGGGAAAGGTTCTTGCATTTGTTTATGTCATTGAATTTCAAAAACGCGGCCTCCCACATGCCCATATTCTGTTAATTCTTTGTTTTGAAGATACACTAAGAACAATAGAAGACTATAATAGCATTGTATCTGCAGAAATTTCAGACCCTGACACACATCCACTGGCATATAACACGGTCTGTAAAACCATGATGCCTGGCCCATGTGGAGATGCCTATCCAAATTCACCGTGTATGATAAATGGTAAATGCAAAAAGAATTACCCAAAGTTCTTTTATGAAAACACTGTTGAGAATGGAACAGGATATCCGAAGTACAGAAGATGCAAAAATAGAAGGACAGTGGTAAAAGGTGGAAAGCTACTAGACAATCGATTGGTAGTTCCTCATAACCTATATCTTTGCGCAAAATACAATGCCCATATCAATGTTGAAGTATGTACATCTGTATCAGCTGTGAAATATTTGTACAAATATGTATATAAAGGTCATGATCGAGCCATGGCAAATGTTCAACCCACTACTACCACAACCTATATCAACCAACAAGAGCCTGTTAATGAAGTCAACAACTTTTTGGATGCATGCTATGTCTCTGCTTCAGAAGCATGCTGGAGAATATTCTTCTTCAAGCTACATAAAGAGCATCCAGCACACCAAAGACTGGCCATTCATCTCGAAGACTCTCAGCAAGTTTTTTTCTCTGAAACTGATAATCCAGCTGCAGTAGCAAACAAAAATTCACACACAACATTAACAGCATGGTTTTTATATAATGCGGAAAATGCAGATGCACGCAAACACTTATATATAGACTTTCCTACAAACTTTGTTTGGAATCTAAAAGACTGATGATGGAAAAAAAGAGTACAATTTGACAGAGGAACAATTGGTAGAATATATACCATATCACCAAGAGATGCAGAATAGTATTTCTTGAGAATTCTGCTCCATAATGTTTGTGGGGCTATAAGCTTCCAGGATCTCCAGACTGTAGAAGGCCAACTACATGAAACAAACCAAGCTGCATGTCGTGCATTAGGACACTTGATGGATGATAACGAACGGGAAGAATGTATGGAAGAAGCAGCATCATACCAGCTACCATCGTCATTGAGATGTCTATTTGCAATTCTTTTGGTTTTCTGTTCGGTGTCAGATCCATTTGCTCTATGGATATCCCACAAAGAATCAACAATAGAAGACTATCTAAATGCTGAAAGACTTGAAACCGACAACCATTCCTTGGAGCCTACCCAGGAAATGTACGATAGATGTATGTGGGACATTGAAAACTATCTCTCTGTCAATTCTTTATCATTAGTATCTTTCAGTGGCTTCACCCTTCCACCTGTTCCTGCAGCATCAAATCGAACTAGGCGTAGACATGGATTGTGAACATTGATGCATGAGCAAGAAGACCTTTGCCATGAAGCTGCTTTGTTGCCAGACCCTGCCACTTTGCCATTTAATATTGATCAGCAATTGGCATACGATTCAATCATAGAAGCATTGAATGTAACTACTCTTACATCAAGACTATTTTTCATAGATGGGCTGGGCGGAACAGGAAAGACATTTGTATTCAATGCTCTTTTGTGTCATGTTCGTCATCAAGGAAAGATTGCCTTTGCTGTTACTACCAGTGGTATTGCTGCACTACTTTTGGTTGGTGGACACACAGCACATTCGCGGTTCAAAATTCCACTTGAAGTTGATGTTAACTCGATGTGCTCTATACCAGCAAACTCTCAAACAGCTGATCTACTGAGAGCAACAGAATTAATTATTTGAGATGAAGCATCAATGATCAGTAAAGATATTTGTAATGCTGTGAACCGCTCTATGCAAGACATTATGAAGTCTGTAAATCCCTTACTTGAAACAGTGCCATTCGATGGAAAATTGTTTATATTTGGAGGAGATTTTAGATAAATTTTTCCTGTAATTCCAAGAGCATCAAGATCGCACATTGTAGAACAATGCATTAATTGTGCCCACGTATGGAGACATGTCAACCACTTGAACCTTACAATCAATATGCGAATTTCTCAAGCAACAACGCCAGAAGAAGAAACTGAGCTCAGAGACTTTGCAGCCTTTTTGTTGAGTGTTGGCAGTGGTACTATTCTCTGTTCTGGTGGTGAAAACACCATTCCAATCCCTGAGCAAATATTAATTCCTGGCTGTAGACTCCTCCACCTTGCAAATGCTGTATTCACTGATCTGAATGCAAATTCACAAAATACTGATTTTCTCATGTGTCGTGCGATACTTACTCTAAAAAACTATGATGTAAAAACAATTAACAACCTTCTTCTTGACCAATTTCCTGGAGTAGCCAGCAAATTCAAAAGCATTGATTGAGGCAACACTGATGATGATCTTCTGGCATACCCAATTGAACTGCTGAACACATTTGATCCTGGATCTCTGCCCCCTCACAGTCTCAAGCTTAAAAAGGGGTGCCCAATTATGCTACTTAGAAATCTTGATCCAAAAAATGGCCTATGTAATGGCACTCGCCTGATATGCAATTCTTTTCAACGATTTGTCATAAAGGCTACAATAGTAACAGGATCTCACGCTGGAAAAATTGCTCTCATCCCAAAAATCAAACTCAATCTATCTGAATCAACATCAACTATAGACTTCCAACACTGTCAGTTTCCTGTTCGCCTTGCTTTTGCAATGACAATCAACAAATCACAGGGGCAGACACTTGATTATGTTGGTCTATACTTACCTTCACCAGTATTTGGACATGGTCAGCTTTATGTTGCCCTATCCCGTGTCAGAAAACCATCAGGAATCAAAATCTTGGTGGATATCCCTGATGCCAGCACAACTCAAAATACTTTCTATACAGACAACGTCGTATATCACGAAGTATTTGATAAACCAACAGACTAAGCCATATAATATATAATCTTATACAAGTATCATAACACTTTCTTTTTGTAAGCTTTCAATTGTTTTATATATATATTATATTAATACCAATTTCAGTATTTTACTAATTATATACTCTTCTTTCAAAAACAACAAATATAGTCATAATGAAGAAGCGTTATAAGTAAAGAGACATTATGTTTTTTAGGTAGATCTTATTTAGCTAAAGTACATGTAGATAATATAAGGTAGGGTAAGGGTATATAACATTAGGGACCTCTTGAGGGTTGGGCTCTTACCAAAGCAAAGCAGTGGTAAGAGCCCAACCCTCAAGAGAATAGGGTAAGGTCAGAGATGTCAGGGTCCCTGGGTTGGGTTTTTACCACTGCTTCGCTTTGGTAAAAACCCTCCCAGGGCAATGCATTTAACCGAAGCGTAGCATAGGTGCTAAATGCTAGTTATTTTTATTTTATTTTTATTTATTATTTATATTGAATAGCTTTTGGGAATAACTCCAATAATATATATATATATATTCTCTTTATTCTTCAGATCGATATATTTTTATTACAATTACAATATAATTAAAAATGATCTGATTTTTTTATTTATATCTCAACATCTGATATATGATATTATAATATATATAATTTATAAATATAATAATAATAGTTGGTAGTAATAAGAGAAAAATATATAATTTTTAAAGATGTTCAAAGCAAACAGTGATTTAATAGTAAAGACATTTTGTTATATGGACATGATTTGTATTACAATAGAGATTTATCAATAATTAAGATATTGAATGCAATCGAAAAATGATTAGATTCCATATAACTCACATGCAAAGTATCTCTTTTTCTTTTTAACGGTTTGATGTAAGTCATATGATTTATAACTTCCTTTCTTTTTAACTGTTTGAACATAAGTCATGTGATTTATAACTTCCTTTCTTTTTAACTGTTTTAAAAGTGCGATCATAAGTCATGTGATATATAGGGCTGGTTGATTTTAATAATATGTATAATGATGATAAATAAATGTGTGATTGTAGGTCATGTGATATACAGGGTCAGTTGATTTTAATAATATGTGTGATGATGTGCTAGATATAACTGTATTTATATAAAATATATCACTTTAACATATCTTCTCATTTCTTTATTTTTTCATCTTTTATTATCAGAAAACCCTAAAATGTTATATAAAAAACTTGAAGAATATAACAGTGCTTTTGAAAAAATCATGAAAGAGCTTGAAGAGCCTGAAGAGTCTGAAGATCAGAAAAGTTCTGCTCTGTCAACAACAGACAAAACCCCCCAAAAAAGTAGAGGACAATATCAAAAGCCAACAGATAAAGATATTAAAAAGCTACTTTATCTCTACTTTATAAGGAGATTAACTATCAAAAAAGCCTGCAAGATAGTAAATATGAAACAAACAACTGCTGGTGGCTATATTTTGAAGTGGAAAAAGTCTCTAGTTGTTTTTTCATTAAAACAACAAGGAGGCTACAAGTGACAAAAAAATGACTCTTTTATTCGAAACTTATTCTGCAATAAAGAAAGACTACAAATAATATCATTGCATTTTCAATTTTAATATAATAATTATTATAATGAGATACTTGCTTTATTATCTTATAACTGCAGTACGATATTTAACTTCAACAAAGTAATCTGCAAAAAAGTTTGCATATTCTGTTAGTTCTCTATATAGATATTTTTTATAACGTATCTTTGTAGAAAGATCTATGTATATTGAAGTGCTATTATATTAGGCATTTGGCACTTATATAAAAAAATACAATGTTTACAAAAAAAATTGTAGAGTGTAAGAATAAAAAATTGGAGTGCAATGTATTCTTCTACTAATAGTAAAAGGGGGGAGCAAATTCAGATAGCAATAGATGCAAATTCAGTTGGCAATGGATGCAAATTCAATTTCTATGGGAGTCAATCAGATGTCAATGGGCTCTAATTAGATGGAAACAGATCACACCAAGAGAAATTCTCATATGAAAATGATAATTTTGGGATAACACTAATCGTAAATACTTTTCTGCAAGTCACAGCATATTCAGCCAATCAAGAGAGCAATTTCCAAAAAATGAAGAGATATTGTAAAAAAAAAAGTTAATGTGTTATTTTTTGAGAAATTGATTAAGAAAGATATACTTTTTATTAGACAAACCGATTCAGCAATCATTTTTTACTTTAGTTAAGTTTATATAAGAGATAGTAGATAAAGAAGTATATAGTAAATCTATCATATATAAAATAAGTTAATCTTTTTTAATATTTGTGACTTGCAGAAAAGTATTTACAATTAGCGTAGCCAATAATTTTGGGTCTCTGAGCCTAAAATAAGAGTTTTTTATCTATAAAAGTTAATTTATGCTGAAAAGTGTTTCTTTTTTCAGAAAAATGTCAAATTTTTTTTTGAATAGTTGGTACTTCTAAAATCAAAACTCGCTGTTACTTTTTGAGAAGCACCCAATAGAAATACTCAATAGTCCAAACTGAAATTAAAAAGCAATTAAAAAAATGAGACAAAGAAATAAGTTTATTCATTTAAAGCAAAAAAACAGAAGTAATTTTTACAAAAGAAGTGATAAGATCCAAACTTGAGGAGATTTACGCTAGAAAGGTGAACACCTGAAGTCAAATGTAACATGCATTCGATTTTGATTTCTTCCAGATTGCAGTAATGTTCACTTGGTTGGCAGCCAACTGTTGCCAAATTCAGGTTAGGTGAGAAAAGCTGGTAATACTGAATGCACAAAATACTATTACTTTCCATAATCCTTCCAACAAACAGCCTGCAAATATTATCTTTATAGAAAAATGCAACTGAGACACCAGTAACAACCTTTGTCTTTACGTGGTTACTGTCCACAAATTCCTGGTATTTGCCAAAGTAGTTGTCAGAATATTTGATTCCTTGATCTTGAAGAAAGGCAGAAATACTGGATCCACTCTTTACTTGAGTACCTGTAGTTCTATTGATCCATGAGCTTCCACTGGCAATGTGTCTAAGCATATCTTGCTTTTCAAACTTGAATGCAAGATCCCTGTTATCAGCACGATAGTTGGAATATACCAAATGAGTCTGGATGAACTTGTTGAATTGCTCACCCTTTTCGGTCTCAAAGTAGAGAGCACAACCAAACCTCTTGATATCTTCTTTCAAGTGCAGCAGAAGGTGCGTCTTCAGAGTCAAGCTGAACTTGGTATTGCTATATACGTCATATTTCCACAAAGACTTGACAAGAAGACGAGCAGTATTATTGACATTGCTGAGATATTGATCGAAATCAGAGTTGACTTCTTGAACAAATAAAAGAGACAATAGAATGCCAAGTTCTGTAAAAGGCTTAGCAATCATACTAACTTCTGTGTCATTTGCGAATTCAGCATTGAGAATAGCTGGCAGGACTTGCACCAAAATTATGAGCTCCTTGTCAAGGTAAGATCCACTATGTCTAAGCTTCTTTCTGAAAGTTCTTGTAAAGTCCCTGGAGCCTTTTTCTTGCTCTAGCAAATTGGATAACTTTACTTGTAAAGCAGTGTTTCCCTTTAGAACCTCCTTGAACAAATAATTAACAGAATATTTACATATTCCAAGAGCTACAGTATATAAAATCTCTACAGGTGTATCAAGAGCAGGATCAAAAGACTGCAAACAAAGTAGGCCTTTGGCACCAGTATGACTATACCCAAGATCAGTAAGAATAGACATCTTATCTATAGGCTTTTCCATTCGCATGTAAATATTGTCAATATTTAGCAATACACTAGGAATTGCCTTCTCTTTACAAGTTGGGTCGGTGGCTGCAATCCTGCAATGTTCCTTTGTTCTTCTTTGAAAATGGCGAACCAGATGATCAGAGTCGAAGTCATCAAAACTGAATCTTGTTAAACTGCGATGGTAGCACCTTCTATATGGGAAATTGGACGTCGCATGCTTCAAACCAACAAGTTTAGCGTGGTGGGCATTGTCAGCTGTAATGAAGAGCAATAGAGCACAGACAGTGACAGTCTCGTTATATGTTGACAAATACATCTCAATACTGTTTTCCAAGGACTTCAGGTCTACAGCAAGAATAGACATCAATTGAGTTGACTTGAATCCAGCTTGCTGGGAAACAGCTGTGACAAAAAAAAATGTTCTTGTGTCTGTTCCTCATGTGGTATGGCATCGCAGGGAAGTTGACCAGCACACTGTTATACATGATATATGTTTTTGGCAGATTTCCAGAGGTATCGTCAGAAAATATGGCAAGTGGGGCAATAATGGCCTTTTGAAATCAGATGAATTGGTTGGCACTGTTAAATATCAGCTTTTTCAAAGGATGGCTTTTGAACAACAGGTCATAGTGCATTGGATTCAATGATGTTTCATCAGAGGAAAATCAATTCTTGGGATAGCTAAAGAATATTGGGGGGAGCCAAGCAGAATTCAGACATTTAACTTCATACATGACAGGAAAGCTTTATATCTTATGTAAGGAGTAGTCTTCACTGTCAGAGCCTTGTTCAACAAGGTAACCATCAAAGAGAGCAATGTTGTTTTTTAGGTAAAACCTCAACTAAAACAGATTGTCCACCAGATAACACGCCAACATCTCCAATCCAAAAGTCTTTGCCATTTGTTTGAACAAAAGGATGTTGAAACAAAGGGTCTCTTTTCTATTTTTCATCTTGTTGGACAGAAAGTCACTGATTTTCAGTGTAATCTGGAAAAGCTAAAAGATATAGTGCTTTTTGAGGGTTTGCCAAAAGAAGACGCAAGTGGTCTGAAGGTAAGTTAAAGTGGCAGTCTGTAGTCTTTACTTAGCCAGTAATTCATGAACCCAAATTGGAAGTTGCTTTGATCGTAACTTTCTTAACAGTTGTAGGGAACAGAGGAATCTTGTTGAACTTATTATGTTGATAGTTAAGCAGAGTCCCGACCTTTGGCAGCTTAAATTCTACTTTATCCTCATCTGCTCTCTTCTTCAACTCAAACAATAAATTGATGGTATACATGATCTTTGTAAGCATGGAAACCGAGATCATACTGTTGTCCCAGTCAACAAAGGCTTGAAAATTAAGGTCTGTAGATTTTGAAAAGGAAAGAAAGGAGGCATGGTTCGATTCTATGCACCGGAAGCAGCAGAAAAATCCAAGAGAGATTGACAATCTTCGAAAGCCAAAATAGAGAAATCTGATTCCACATTACTGTTAATTGTCAATGATGCCATATTAAAGATTCTTTCTTTAAGAGAAGAAATATTCTCTTCCATAGCTTCTTCTTGTTCTTCTTCAATCATAGACGAAATATCGGCTTGAAACAATGCTTCTTAACTATCTTTGACTACATTAAATTCTCTTTCTGAATCAGAAATGCTTGTAACGTTGAGGTTGGGCACGTTTTCAGTCAAAGAATCTGAAGATGTTGTTATGTCATGTGTCTGAACATGTCACTGAAGATTATACAATGTGCTGCACTTTTGCAAGCACAAATGGCAGGTGAAAGAATGGCCTACAAGCTTAATTTTGCCTACGTTTTTGCTATATTTCAACTATTTTTTGCCCATTATAAAGTAAGGTTAATCAAATAAAAGAAAGTAAAGAAAAGTGCCTGACAATAATGAAACTAATGCAAACTTAAATAACTTTCTGAGTCTTAAATTTTACTTAGTATTTTTTTCTTTATTTTTTCTTTGTTTTCTTTTTTATAAGTTAATTTTTTTCTTCTTTATTTTTACTCATCAAACAGAACTTGTAATGGCTAATGATTAATACCTTACTCTTATATAGAATTCACAAATCATGCTTGTAATCAGTTTAGATAAGTAAATCAAACTGTATGTTACTTTTTCTATATGTTAAATAATCAAAAGTCTTTTAATCAAGTATTTGTCATTGTGAGGTAAGCTTTACAAGAAGAAACAAACTGATCCAAGTCAAAACACTTCATACTAGCACATAGTTTACATTTCAGATAGTTAAAGCTACACCAAATAGCATAGCTCTTTATTCATAGTAAAGTTATTTTATTATTTGATTATTAGTGCAAATACAGCTCCTAACTCTTGTCATTTTTCTATGTTAGCTATGAATATCTCTACTTGTATTTATACAAATAGCTTGCCAGCATCTTTGTCTCTTCACACTATCATTTGCTTTTTTATATATTATGTCAGTGAGCTTCAATGTAATCTAGGTAGCTTCAGTAGTCAGGTAAATTCTGGGTAGGCATCAAGCAAAGGTCAAGTGAAAGCTAAGCATCAGTCCAAAGGTGATCTAGTAGTAGTGATCTAGCCTAGCCTGATTTTCACCCTAGTAAAAGTTGAATCCCCCTCCCCCCCAATATTTTTTCTGAATAAAATTGCTGTATTTCAAAACCCATTATTTCTAAATTTGTTTTAAAAAATGAAGTTCAAAACACACTCTGTAGTGAAATTACTGTATTCTATATAAGGCAATTATATTGCTCTTAGCAAACGCCAATAAAACAGTGCTTAAAACCTGTCCAAATTTGGATACTGATTTCTTTTGGTGTGATGCTAATTAGATGGAAATGGGTGCCAATTGAATGAATAAAACCAGTAGTTTAGAAAACTATATAAGATAATTCAATTCAGATCAATAAAAAGTATCTTTTATCCTCTCTTTGATTTTACGTATACTCCTTGATCCCCAGTAGGTTTGACCTTTTGACTGTCAGAGTTGACATTGGCAATCAGAATCGGAATTCACAAGCAACCAATAATGGTTGACTTTTAGGGTAAAAGATCTTGTCATTGCCAATTGGTCTTTTGTATATGTTTTAGATGTTTAAGATGGTGAATATACTTGTAAAAGATATTACTAGATAACTAGCATCTAAGACATATTAATGTAGCTGTTCTTTTAGCCAGAAATCAAGTATCAATTCATATAAATAGTCAAGAAATATATTTAATAAAAAGTATCTTTATTCTTATCTAAAAACTATTCATAAACTTGACGATCCCCAGTGGTATTGATTTTGCAACTTAGTTACAAGTGCCAGAAAATAAATACCAGATCGAGACTTGACATGACTTTGTTATAGTACTGGTTTTATCCATTCAATTGGCGCCCATTTCCATTTAATTAGCATCCGTTTCCATCTAATTAGAACTCATTGACATCTGATCAGCTTCCATAGAAATTGAATTTGCATCCATTGCCAACTGAATTTGCTCCCCCCCCCCCTTTTACTATTGGCGGAAGGGTACATGGCACTCAATTTTTTTATTCTTACACCTTACAATTTTTTTTATATAACCATAGTATATTTTTTTTCTAAACGTTGTACTTTTTTTTGTAAATTTCATATTTTTTTATATAACCATAGAATTTTTTTTTGTAAACGTCATATTTTTTTTATATAACTATAGTATTTTTTTTGTAAACGTCGTACTTTTTTTTTGTAAACGTCGTATTTTTTTATAGAACTGTAGAATTTTTTTTTGTAAACGTCGTATTTTTTTTATATAACCGTAGTATTTTTTTTTTGTAAACGTCGTATTTTTTTATATAACCACTAGGGGAGCGGTGCTCCCCCCCCCCTTTGGGGGGTCCCCCCCCCTCCCCCCTCCCTTCGGGGGGGCCCCAGAGCCTACAGGAAGTTAATATACAGTCATTTCAAAAAGTAAAGTCGCTGATTTTGAGTTTGATGTCGTGCAAAAAAACTTGTGTCCAACAATGATGTTGACTGATCCGGCAATTAAGTCGTGACGAATTTCGTTTATTTTTAGTTGTCGCTTAGTAATTGCCCAATAAAATTTCTTGGCATTAATTATTTTTATAAAAAAGGGGGCCATTCTCGGTGTACCTTTTTTACTTCTTTTTTCCTATTTACAATTTATTTTATAGACATATGGAATGAGTATGCAATTTCTTTACGAAGATGGAAAAGGACATGTTGTTGATGAGCATGGAGTTGAGCCGATGGATCTCGTTGTTGACAAGGAGCTATTCGCTATCGAAACAATAAGCTCTCGTACTCAATTCCTAATGAATCAACCTCCAGAAAGATATTCTAATCCTGTAATGCATCCAGTTTCAGACGATAGGAACAATGATGTTGATATGGAATTATTCAACAAGCGACGCTATACAGTTTACTCTGATGATGAGAAAATGAGATTTTTTCACCTATTTTTTAGCAAGTGCTTAAGTGCTTCTGCTGCCGCGAGACAATTAGGTATTCATATTCGTGCAGCTCAGAGATGGGTCAAACGTTATTATGAAGATCCTGAGAGTATTTTCGAAAAAAAGAAAAAGTCAGGTCGACGTCGTATTCTTGGGGAGGAGCATAAACAATTTATCTTAAGGTGCATTGATGAGAATCCTTCTGCTGTTTTAACTGAAGTGGTAGGAAGTTTAATGCAAAACTTTGTAGATCTTAATGTTTCTCGTAGTACTGTTTATAACTTCATGACAACGCAGTGCAATCTATCCATTAAGCAGGTGCAGTTCCATTCTGTAGAAAGAAACAGCAAGGAAAAAATTCAGCAAAGGTACGTTTGGGTCCAAAAGTGGCAGCAAACTGACATGGACTTTACAACAAATTGTGTCTTTCTGGATGAATCAGCCTTTCACATTAATTTGAAACGAGGTATGGCTTGGTCAAAGAAGGGAACTCCTGCAATAGTTACAGTGCCTATGACTAAAGCAAAAGCAACATCTATTTTAGGTGCCATATCGGCCACTGGCTTAATTAATGTTAGTTTGAGAGTTCCAAAGCATATCAAAAAGAGAAAGCTTGGACATGAGACTGACATTTATAGCACAGGAACAGTGACAGGGCATTATTTGAGCTTTGTGAAGGCTACTCTTGATGAAATGGACAGATATCCAGAAATGAAGGGACATTACCTTGTCATGGATAACGCTCCTATTCACAGCTCAACCAATATAGGTAAGTATATCAATTCTCGGGGATACCAGTATGCGTATCTTCCTCCATATTCTCCTGAACTGAATCCAATCGAGCAGTTCTGGTCAGTCGTCAAGAGTAAAGTGAAACGAAATAAGTTTTTGGAAAAAGAATCACTCATGACAAGAATTAGCAAAGCATGTGATAGTTTATATTTAAGTGATTTCAAAGGTTTTGTTTCTCATTCTGTTAAATGCTTTGACAAGTGTCTCAACAAAGAGAGGCTCTAAAATATCCAATGCAAAAAAAAAAATGAAAAAAGGGGAAATTTGTTATGCACTTTTTGTTAAGCACTTTTTGTCAAGCACTTTGTCAAGCACTTTGTCAAGCACTTTGTTAAGCACTTTGTTAAGCACTTTGTCAAGCACTTTGTTATGCACTTTTTGTTAAGCACTTTTTGTCAAGCACTTTGTCAAGCACTTTGTCAAGCACTTTGTTAAGCACTTTGTTAAGCACTTTGTCAAACACTTTGTTAAGCACTTTTTGTTAAGCACTTTGTTAAGCACTTTGTCAAGCACTTTTTGTTAAGCACTTTTTGTTAAGCACTTTTTGTTAAGCACTCGGGGGGGGGGGGGGGCAACGACGTCATTGTGGAGATTGCCGAAAGCAAGTTTGGTAAATGTAAGTACCACTGGGATCATGCTGTCGAGGGTTGCTGGGTGTTTGGGTTTTGGTCATATATTTTGGCTGGGTCAACAAAATTGACCAAAAGCAGTACTCTTTTTTTTTTTTTGTGAACCAGCCTGCTTTTGTTGTGTCTCCCTCTTTTTATTTTATTCTTTTTTATGGTTGCAATGGCAAGTAAAACAAAACTTGTTACTATTTTACAGCAATGTTTTGAATGTCGAAAGACATACAGCACTCCACAATCCCTTCGAGAACACATGCAAAAGCACAATATACAATTGCCACAACGAATAACAGGAATCAGACGATATAATAATGATGAATATACCTATGTTAAGGCTACCAAATCACACGATGACATTGAGAAGCACTTTGGCTGCCCTGCATGCATCGCTCATTGTATGGAAATCGACGAGTTGAAGACCCATTATTATGTCAACCATTTAGAAACCTTGCCAGAACAATCACAGACGACATCGCAGGAAGAACCAGCGACAGGGCAACAACAAAGCTACAACAGCCAAGACCAGCCTAACAAACGTCACTTAAGCAATATCCTTGGAACTGAGTTGTTGGATCCATTATGCCTATCGTTTCCACCTCTTGATCACGATGACCATTTGTTGGTACAAAACTTCGATGCAACAATGGCGTTTCATAAGCTGCAGCTCTCATTATGTCAACACAAATGGAAACTATCACTCGAAAATCACATCCACTGCGCCATGGCAGCCACCCACATTTTGCTCTTGTCACGAAATCATTACCCAGAGGATTTATCACCCTATTTCAGCAATCACGACCTCAAGGCAACCATCAATGGGATTGAGACAAAATATGGCATTAAAAAGCTTCCAATGTCAATGGCGACGACTACCAGCATGATCGGCATCGTTCAAAATCTTACCATGGGAGTAATCAGTCGAGATAAAGCGATTGCACACCTTTTGGATTTGGACCTCCCCACAAATGAGAACAAGTTCAAAAAATGCATAATCGATTTGATTTGGAAGCTTCCTCCCGTACCTTTGCAGAAGACATCAACGAATTTGAACTTAGCACTCGATACGTTGATCCTTTTTTATCTGGTTTATTTGACGATCCGGACGAGGGCATATACCTACGGTGGACTAATGAAATAACTTTAGAAGCTCAACAGGATGAAGATTTATCAACAAAACGTCCCGATATATGTATAAGTCGTTTACATGGGATGACATGGGCGTCGAATCATGGCTATGGGGAAGTTAAGTCAGCTGCTCAAGGTGGTAACAATTATTTGATTTGTCGGGATCTACTTCGCGTTGGTATATTCTGCAAGAATGCTCTCAATACACATAACATGGAAGGTGTACTGGGTCTGCAGGTTATTGAAAGAATGGTTACGTTTTATGTCTTGGTTTTGCCATCAACAGGACTTTATGTCATGTACGAGCTGGAAAAAATCAAGATTCCTAGCTGCTTAGATGATTTAACTAAACTTATTGTGGATATGCCTCGCGTTTGTCGCGTACTTGACACCTTCAATCGCATCTGCAAACCATCAGTCCATCAAGCAATGCCTAGCCGACACCGCCCAACGATCACGACATCTGCCTTCAATGGCGTTTTTTCACCATCCCAAGATCGCAAAAGATCATGTCATTTGAAATATCAACATAATTAGTAATCAACTCAAAAATAAAAAGAATTATTCGATCTATGTGTGGGCTTTGCCGTGTTTTCTTTTTCTTTTTTTTTTGCTAAGCATTTTGTTAAGAATTTTGTTAGGCACTTTGCTAAGCGTTTTGCTAAGCATTAGTTTTGTACAAACGGTAAGAGGCAATTATGTTGGACCATGCATGTGGGCAGACTGGGTCAACAAAAGTGAACAAATACAAAACCCAAACACCCAGCAACCCTCGACAGCATGATCCCAGTGGTACTTACATTTACCAAACTTGCTTTCGGCAATCTCCACAATGACGTCGTTGCCCCCCCCCCCCCCAA